AGAAGCCAATTGTAAAAGAAGCCAATTGTAAAAGAAGCCAATTGTAAAAGAAACCGATTGTAAAAGCATTTGATCGCTCGATTGCAACGAGCAACGAGTGTTGCGTTATGATACAACGAGTGTCATAACACATATTAATCTAATTATCTAACTTTATCTAATCTAATAATCTAATTAATAAAATTAATAGATAATCTATATCTAAGTTTATCTAATCTATAATATGACACATATTACGACATAACAGTGAGCCTATGAAAAGGTAACACAGACCGCGATGAAAAGCGAACGCAAACCGATAGTAAAAACTGCAGCGAGTGTAGCAATGTGACGTACGTATTTTCCCGTGGTAAATGTGGTCTGGTGAATACACCAACAAACATGTATTGAGTTATAGCGTAATAGTAAAAGCGCACGAGTGAAATAGATTAATTATATTTAATGTTTTTTTTCTCCGTCATGTGGTGAATGCAACAACAATAAATTATCGCGTTACTGCATGATAGTAAAAACGCACGACTGTAATGTATTAATGACATATAATAAAAAATATATGCGCAATATATTACCGCAGCGGCATACGTAATATATTTACTAGCGATGCTACTGCTGATAACAATCATTGTCATATAGTGCATGACATGATGTGACAGCTAACATCATGTGGTGTGCTATATGATGTCACACTGATCGTCGTCAAGCGTGTTCTATTATGTAACACTCATTGTTATATAGTGCATGTAGTGGTGTAACAGTTATTATAATATAGTGCATGACATGGTATAATACTCGCGCTATATACTAATACTAATAATTTTATTAATCTCACTTCTAGGTGCTTCGAGCACACGTGATAAACGACAATGTCGTATTTAACAACAACTTCCGTAAGGGAGTGGTTTACAACGCCTACTCCGAAGAAGGTGCGATACAATTGCATTTCGATCATCGAGGCAACGAGACGGACGAAGCGCCGGATGAATGTGAGCATAAGGAAGAACTATGCACTATACACACGCACGCGCGCACGCACACGCACACGCACACGCACACACACACACACACGCACACGCGCACACGCACACGCACACGCACACGCACACGCACGCGCACGCACACGCACACACACCTATACTGGCTATCCCTGCATTATATATAATCAAGTTGTAACTTCACGAGTTATTCTCATACATACGGTGTTTAATCCTTTATTTATTCCTACGAATTTCGAGATGTGAACGCGTACCTTAATCAAAAACCTGCGTGCATGGATTTTGTGCCTGTAGATATATGCTATAAAAGTACCCGAATGTGCCTGCTTCGTTTTTGTTATCAATAATTATTTCTCGTATACTCGCACGTGTATCTGAGAACAACGAATTCTTGCATGTTCCCCTGACAACATTGTGTGTGTGTACTAACTGCATGTGATTCTAATCGAAGAGTGAACCTAGTTTCTTTTCTAGGCAAGCCGAAGCGATGCCCGAATCGTTGAAGCTGTTGCTAGATCTGCCAGGAACGCAGAAGGTACATGCAGCGCGATACACGATGTTCGTACCTAACGACGAAGCCTTCAGCTCTATGCCGGAAGAAGCAAGAGACGCGCTCCTGAATGACACGAGTCTCTATGAAAAGGTAAGTGAACAGAAGCCAATTGTAAAAGAAGCCAATTGTAAAAGAAGCCAATTGTAAAAGAAACCGATTGTAAAAGCATTTGATCGCTCGATTGCAACGAGCAACGAGTGTAGCGTTATGATACCAAGAGTGTCATAATACATATTAATCTAATTATCAAATTCTATCTAATCTAATAATCTAATTAATAAAAGTAATAGATAATCTATATCTAAGTTTATCTAATCTATAATATGACACATATCAAGACATAACAATGAGCCTATGAAAAGGTAACACAGACCGCGATGAAGAGTGAACGCAAACCGATAGTAAAAACTGCAGCGAGTGTAGCGTAATAACAATAATGTGACGTACGTATTTTCCCGTGGTAAATGTGGTCTGGTGAATACACCAACAAACATGTATTGAGTTATAGCGTAATAGTAAAAGCGCACGAGTGAAATAGATGAATTATATATAATGTTTTTTTTATCCGTGATGTGGTGAATGCAACAACTATAAATTATCGCGTTACTGCATGGTAGTAACAACGCACAAGTGTAATGTATTAATGACATATAATAAAAAATATATGCGCAATATATTACCGCAGCGGCATACGTAATATATTTACTAGCGATGCTACTGCTGATAACAATCATTGTCATATAGTGCATGACATGATGTGACAGCTAACATCATGTGGTGTGCTATATGATGTCACACTGATCGTCGTCAAGCGTGTTCTATGATGTAACACTCATTCTCATGTGGCGTATGACATTATGTAACACGCATTGTGATTTAATGAATGACATGGCGTAACATTTATTGTCATGTAGTGTGCTATATGACATGATGTGACAGCTAACATCATGTCGTGTGCTATATGATGTAACACTGATCGTCGTCAAGCGTGTTCTATTATGTAACGCTCATTATCATGTGGCGTATGACATTATGTAACACTCATTGTGATTTAATGAATGACATGGCGTAACATTTATTGTCATGTAGTGTGTTCTATGATGTAACATTCATTGTCGTATAGTGCATGTAGTGGTGTAACAGTTATTATAATATAGTGCATGACATGGTATAATGCTCGTGCTATATACTAATACTAATAATTTTATTAATCTCACTTCTAGGTGCTTCGAGCACACGTGATAAACGACAATGTCGTATTCAACAACAACTTCCGTAAGGGAGTGGTTTACAACGCCTACTCCGAAGAGGGTCCGATACAATTGCATTTCGATCATCGAGGCAACGAGACGGACGACGCGCCGGATGAATGTGAGGAAGAAGGAAGAGCTATGCACTATACACACGCACGCACGCACGCACGCACGCACGTACGCACGTACACACGCACGCACGTACACACGCACGCACGCACGCACGCAGAACACACGCGCGCGCCCACACGCACGCGTACACACGCACGCGTACACACGCACGCGTACACACGCACGCGTACACACGCACGCACGCACGCACGCACGCACGCACGCGTACACACGCGCGCACGCACGCAGAACACACGCATGGACGTACGCACACACACATTCATAAACACACGCACGCACTTACGCACATTTGCACGTACGCGCGCACGCACGCACGAACGATCATTTGCACATACGCACGCACGCATGCACGCACGCACGAGCACATGCACGTGTGTATAAACGCGCGCATTCATGCATCCGCATTCTAACACAAACACCAATTCTATAAATACAGGGTATACTAAATGTCACGCTCGTGAGGCCGTGAGTGCGTGCTGTGGGTGATGTTCGTGGCTGATGTGTCTGTGTTGCCTAGTAAGCTCTGTAATATCTA